GAGAGAAAAGGTTTTCCTCAGAATGTCTTCATCAACCTGTTGTCTCCTCCAGGACACGGACACGCTGTGGTTGGACTACCACCAGAACCTGACGGACAAATCCCTGCTGGGCCTCGACACGTACCTGGCCCAGTTCCCAGAGATCAAGGTGAGTCTGGAGATCCGCAGGAAGAGACAGGAAATGACAGGAAGTGACGGGAAGAGAAATACAAGAAGTGACAGAAAGATACAGGAAGAAAAATACAGGAAGTGAGAAAGTGACAACATGGGGCAACATGGGTGCCTAGTTGCTGAAGTTGCTGTGTTGCTGAAAGAGACGGCAACACGGCATTGCTGAAGTTGCTGTGTGTCCAACAGGCTCGCGTAGCGAAGCGCGAGAGGAAGCTGGTGGACTTTGACAGCGCCCGCCATCACTTCGCCTCCTTGCAGAAAGGGAAAAAGAAAGATGATGCCAAGATCGCCAAGGTAACGGCCAGGAAGCCATTTTGATTTAAGGTGGAACAGGAGATGCTGTTGATTCCACCTTAAATCAGTCAGACTGATTCTTGTGTGAAACTGAGAATGTTGACTTGATCTGTTGCTGCTCTTCCTCGCCGTCCTCCTGGCGGCGCTGCATGCTGTGTGCCGTTAGCCTGCCGCCCTGCTAGAGATGGCCGCCCCCAGCTGGGCTCAGGGCCTGATCTCCGCCCACCAGGTGGCACAGACTAACCTCTCCTACAACCAGGTGAAGCTCTGGGTCACCTGATGACATCACACCATACATTACATCACTCTGACCTCTTTAAATTGGTCCAAACTGATCTGATTTGATCGTCAATCAGCTTTGAGTTTAAATTAAAAATCAGTCGGATTGCTGCTTAACTTTAGGAGAAACTGATTAATGAGGTCACTTATACTGATCAATATAATATTAACTACAAAAACTAAACCTGCTGATTAGTGTTAATGAACTCACTGATCACCAAAGTAACTAATTATTAAACCATTAACTCATTTGCTAACTAGCACAGAGACTAACTCATCAAACATTAACTAATTTTAAACCAACTAAATATTCAGGATTAAACTAAACATAAAATAAAAACGACATGAAAACCATCAACCTGTTGCTTTAATAAACTAAGCAGCTGACATGTTAGTGACTAGTTAACAGACTAACCATCACTAGTTAGCGACGAACCGTCTGAGCTGCTTGGTTCTGCTCTGCATGCTGCATGTCTCAGCTGGTTCTGTTGGACTCGCCTGGTACCGGTTCTGATTCTTCACTCTGTGTGTGTGTTTGTGTGTGTGTGCAGGCGGAAGAGGAACTGGGCCGGGCTCAGAGGATCTTTGAGGAGCTGAATGTGGAGCTGCAGGACGAGCTCCCGGTTCTGTGGGACAGGTGAGAACCGGTCCAGTCCGGTCCAGGTGGTTCCGACCCACAGAACCAAACCCTGACTTATGTGTGTGTTCCAGTCGTGTTGGGGTCTATGTTGGCACATTCCAGAGCCTGGCAGGACATCAGGAGAAGTTCCACAGAGAGATGAGCAAGGTGAGTGAGCCAGCTGCTCTCCACCAATCAGAGCCCAGCATTCAGTCAGCTGACCCGCCTCTCCTGTGAGCAGCTGAGCCACAACCTAAACGACATCATGACCAAACTGGAGGAGCAGCGGCAGCTCAAGTAAGTTCCTCCTTCATCAGCCACCAAGTGCAACATGACAGCACTAACTCACAGCGCCCTCTGGTGCAGAAAAGACGCGACTGCAGCCGCAAAGAAAGGCGGCGCAAAGAGGTAAAAATGCTGCATGAAGCCGCATGCTCCTCCTGCTGCATGCTCCTCCTGCTGCATGCAGTAGCTGGTCCTGGATAAACTCTAATGAAGCTGAATGTTTGCGGCTGTCAACATTAAGCTGTGAAGAGTTATAATTTGGAGCATGTTGGCGCCCTCGTGTGGACAAAGCGTAGAACAGCTTCGCTGATTGTTTTGCACATGTTCCTGTTAAGTTTTTCTCTCCTGTTCTCATCGTCTTCCTCTCTCTCCTCCTCCTCGTCCAGTGAGGAAGCCAACCACAGCCAGGCCAGCAGCCCGGCTCCAAAGGTACCAGGCTGCAGTTCTAGCTCTGCTAGTCTGAAGGGTTCTGGCTTTAGATAACAGAGTGATGTGAGCGTTCCTAACTGCATCTGTGTGCATGCCGCTGCGATGGCTGCGTTTTTCCACCTGGTGGCGCTGCAGAAGCTTGGCCCGCCGCCCAGCCGGCCTCCTCCCAGACTGTCACCGTCTCCAGACCCAAAGCAGCAGATCGCCGCCCTGCTGGAGGACGAGGCTGCAGCTCCAGACTCTGACTCAGACCCAACCAGCATAACGCAGCAGGTCAGATGTTCTTCAACAGGCGGACCTGCTCACACACCCAGGACCACACAGTCACATTAACCTGAACACATCTGATGGCTCCAACTGTTAACAGACTCAAACATTTTCAACTTTGGATCAGAATCTGGTTAAACAGAAGAAACACGATGACTCGACCTTGAGGGACTCCTGACCTCTACATTGATTACTGACAGAGAGACTGACGCTGACATGATGGTGTTCTGCTTACAGCAAGGGGTTAAAGTGTGTGTAAAGTGTGTGTGAAGCTTCTTGAGTTCAGGTATTCCTGGTACCTGAAGTGGTTTTGCATGAACAGCCTCTGGTCTCGTTTCTTCCTCCTGGTTGTTTTAGTTTCTCGGATTTAAGTTTGGATTAAAAACTAATTATTGTGTCAGAATCAATGAGACACAAAAACATCCAAATAAACCGAACCTGTTGGTGCACGAAGGAGTTTTTCCATCAGCCTGGAATTCAGACTCAACATCTGGTCAATAACTGTTAACTTCAGAACATTCTGATCCAGTCGGTCCAGTTCTGGTTGCCATGTTGAGCCGTAGTTTGTGGTGAGGTTGGAGTTGAGGATCAGGAATGTGTTTAGGTGAAAACAGGAATTGAGTGATGACCGATCCGTCTCCATGTTTTGCTCACTGCGCTGCCTCAGACGCCATCTTGGGACTCGTGGGTAAGAAGAACGTCTTAGACCCTCAACCAGCTCTGTTTCTACTTCCTTTGGCTTTTTAAAACCCTACACCTCCCTCTCTTGTGGTTGTTATGGCAACATTAAACTCAAACGCTCCTCTGGCATTTCCTTTACCGTCCTCCCTTTGACCTTTTACCCCTGGCTTCGCTGCCCAACCCCTGCTGCCGTAGCGAGACGAGTGTGGCGCCGAGCCGCTGTCCCAGCAGGATGCAGAACAGGAGGCCCAGAGCGGCTGGGACCACAGCAGCTACCAGAGCCACGGCCAGCCCAGCTGGGACAACACTGACCTGGCCGAAGGTCAGGACGGCGGCGCTGCAGAGCGGGGACAGGCAGCTCAGGCGTTCAGCGAGCCGGACTGGGACGAGGGTGGAGCCGGCGAGGGGCCGGGCGGCTGGGGCGAGGAGGACGAGGAGGAGGTAGAGTTGGGAAAGTAGATGAACTTCAGAAGACCCTGATCGGCCCCAGACCTCCTGACCTCAGTCCCTCACCGGTTCTGTTTCCTGCTCTGAACTCTTTCCACCTTCATGCTTTCCAGAAGTCTGTCCGTCTGTAATGCCCGGCCTTTTCTTCCTCCAGAGCTCTGTGACCAACGGCGCCGATGCTGACCTTCCTCCAGGGTTCCTCTACAAGGTGAGTCCACCGACCGCTGAGTGCTCTCTGGCTGCTGCCCGACTGAACCGGGCTTGGTTCTCGTCCTCCAGGTGAAGGCGGTGCATGAGTACACGGCAACGGACAACGACGAGCTGGAGCTGAAGGTCGGAGACGCCGTCCTGGTTTTGGCTGTTGATAATCCTGAGGAACAGGTGAGTATCATGTGCGAGAGCCTGACCTCAGCGTCACACAGACAGACTGAGTTATACACCGGTCTGTCCAAACACGGACGGTCTCTGCTGGGTCTAGTCAAAGAAAGAATAATCTGTTTACAACACTCTCCCAGGTTCAGAGTCCTGGAGAAGAACACACAACTCCAAATTCTGCCCAGTCCAGACAACTCAAGTTGCTGAGTGTCATAGAAAACCATCGTCCTCACATTGACCAATGAGGAGGAGGGATGAGACTTGGTCAGAACCAGCAGAGATCCGTTAGCTGCTGTGGACGGGTTTGGGATCAGGTCTCCAAAATAAAAGCCTGCTAAGCGTTATTTAGCATCTTTTTATTGTCGGACGTCAACAGGAAGATCTTTCTGCAGGTCTGGTTAGGAGGTCATGACCCGACATTAATGCTGGGAAGAGACTGAAGGAGTCAACCTTCCTCCAGAACCTTCAGAACTTAGAATGTCATCCAGCAGAGTAAAATAATTACCATGACAACCGGTCCCGGTTGGTCCAGTTCTGGCCAATCGGAGACAGCTATTCATCACAGAGGATTTTATTTAAATGAGCTTCCAGCTGAAACAAAGTCTGCTGGGGTCTGAGCTGAGGTGGCGAAAAGTCTGAGCCAGGAGTATCTCCAGGCCTTTGCGTTGCTGGTTGGATAAACTGTGATCCTGTGTAACCGGAGGTCTGTCTGTGTAATCGGATCCTTTCTGTGTTGTGCTGGTTCTATTGATCGATCAGGCCGTGACACGGTTTGTCTTTAAAAGGATGATTTCTCAGTTTATCCTGACAAAAACAAAATACAGAAAACAACCGTGTTAAAGGCTGCCCGCTCCAAGTCCTACACAAAACAAAAGTACATGGCAAAAATTAACTTAATAGATCTATAAATAAACTGGATGTATTTAGATGAAAAATAAACAGCACACACCTCTCCTGCAAGACATGACAAAAGGGGAGGGTGTAAGGGGCGCAAACAATTTAAAGACAATACCACAGAAGAAGAAATGAAAAGGAGGGGCTTCTGATCTTAAAGTAACACGGTTAAAACAATGACAGTTTTATAGAGGTGTTTCAGTCAGGTAAGGAACAATACAAATAACCAAAAAACAAGACATTTTGTGCAAATATAACAAAAGAGAAATACAACCAAGTTACATTTGCAGGACGACGGCTGGCTGCTGGGCGTCAAGGAGTCTCACTGGTTCCTCAAGAAAGATATTTCAGCCAAAGGGGTTTTCCCTGAGAACTTCACCCAGAAGGTCTGATGGTGGCGCTGCAGCTCATCCCCAACCTGAAGCTCCTCTTCATCCCTGATGACGGCGGTTAGCTCTGAAAGCTAACATCGTAGCAAACAGCGATGGAGACCAGTGCCTGTCCACATGTTTCTGCAACCATCTAGTTCTTCTTCTGCAAGTTTCAACGACTTTTTAGTAAATAAAAATAAACGGATGTAATAAAGAAGGGTTTGGGATTTTATTCTTTAAATTCTGGATAAAAATCCAAGATTTCATGTTTAATGATGGAATTTAAGAGAACATAAAAGCTATTTGGTTGGATGGATGTTGGATGCTACAGTGAGCCTCTGCTAAGGTCCCATTGGTCTAAAAGTTTTCCAGTGTTGAACACCAGGGGGCGCCGTCCAGTCATCTTGCATAACGTCTGGAGAGCCAGTTTCCATTGGGACACGATTACTCACCATATTCCAGATTTTATTTTCATTTCTCGTTAGAACTACAGTCATAAATTAGGTTGTATTTATTTCACACTAGAACTCATAGAAAAGAGAGCGACATATTTAAAAGTTCTGTAAAGTTTTTGCAGGTCAGTTATTACTGGATATTACTAGGCACATAACTTTCCTGTAAACATCTGGCATCAGGTTTACATCTTTCTGGATCAAATCAACATCAGTAAAGATAAATGAAGCACACTGTATCCATTTTGGCCAATCTAACAACATAAATGGGTTTAGACAGAACAGGTTAAGTATTCAGTATTTGATCTGGTTAGTGACCTGCTGTGACCCGCAGGCTAATGAATGTTAAGGTGTTTACGTTGTTACCATGGAGACCGAGCAGCACCAGAATGACCTTCAGTGTTTCTATTAGAAACCAGTGACCAACCATGTGGAAAGCAAACACCGCCAGGCCCCAGCTGGGCGCCGGGCCCCGCAGGGATGGGACAGACACTTCCTTTCCTCCAGCAACCAGGAAGAGGTTTGGCCATATTGGAAAACATTACCTGTTTACAGAGTCACTCAGGTTGAACTTCACAGAAAGTAAAAGCTGTGAATCTGCTGAGTCCCAAAGGCAGCAGTAAACTGTAGCTGCAGTCCAAAAGGGCCAGCTGGTTCTGGTTCTGATGGGACCCTGGCCCTTTGGGAATCCTCCACAGGACCAGTTACAGGAGGGTTTCTGGGTCCATCTAACTGGAACAAGGTGATAGTGAAACCATAGCAACCACACTGACCATGTTTATGTTGAGTCTTTGTCTTGGTTCCTCCTTCATCAGTCTGTTGAACAGTAACTGGACCAGCTCTGATGTTCAGAACCAGTTCTGTTACGAGGTCTGGTACCTGCAGACATCTCTTCTGTTCAGAACTTTTTAAAGATAAAAATTAAATATAAAAGGTGTTAAACTGCTGACCAGAACCCATTTATCTCCAAGTGGTAGCCATGGAAACTGTCTGTCTGTTCAGCCACTAACCAACTGGAAAACCTGAATGTTTAACTGGTTTTAATGGAGCAGCTGGTTGAGTTGGAGCCGTCAGCCTTTGCAATGCAAATGAATCCATCAGTGAGGTGATGAGGGATTCGTTACCAACGTCAGTTGCCTCACCTGGCTTTAGGTCTCTGCTTTCTACAGACTCAGGCTGGAAATGCTAAACATTTAGCAGCTAAACGCTACCTAGTACTCCAGAACCAGTTTGAACCATAGACGTAATATAGGATAGACGCCTCATGGACCGCTCTCGCCTATTGTCGCTGACGAGATTTAGGGCGGCCATCTTG